GAGCCGCTCGGCGCCGGCCTCCCCAACACGCACCCCCGACGCGCCCGCCTGGCAGCGGCTCGCGCCTCGCGGCGGCCCTGCGGGCGGCGGGGGCGGCTTTGCGCCGCTCCCCGCGGCCCCCGGCAGCGCGCCGCCAGCGGGCGGCGGCGGCGGCGGCGGCAGTGGCAGTGGCTCCCACAGCCCGAGCGGCAGCACTTCTCTCGGCCCCCACGGCGCGTCGCCGCTCTCCCCGCAGCGCGAGGCCGCGCACGCGTCCCCCGGCGCGCCGCTGCCGCGCCCCGCGCTCTCGCCCGCGCACGCGCTCGCCGCGGCGCGCGCGGCGCGGCGCGGGCGCGACCGCGGCGGGGGGTCCCCGTGGTCGCCCGTCTCTGCGGACGAGCTGCCGCCCGCCGCCGAAATCGCGGGCCCGGCTGGCATGATGACGCCACGCGCGCCGCTGCAGGCGCCCTCTCGCGTGCTCACGCCTGAGCTGCTTGCGTCGGCGTGGCCGCGGCGCATGCAGGACGCCGCTGAGCTGGCGCTCAGCGAGGGGTGGAGCTCCCTTAGTAGCAGCAGCGTCGGGTTTACAGACAGCGCAGGCGCCGCCGCGGGGGAAGGGGGCGGTGGCGGCGGGCCGGGCAGCGCCGGCGCCACGCCCCAGAGTTGGTGGGCGGCCGTCGCGTATCAGCAGCAGCGCGCGTCGTCCGCCGCCGCCGGCGACGGCGCGGGGAGCCCGCTGCAGCGCGGAAGCCGGCCGGCGGAGCGCGGGCCGCCGTCGCCGCCCGCCGCGGCGGCGGGCTCCCCCTTGTCGCGCCACCACGCCGCGCAAGGCACCGCCTCTCAGCTCGACGGCTCCCCTGGCTCGCCTCAAGCGGCCTCAAGCGGCCGCAACGGCCCCGCGTTTGAGGGCCCGCAGCCCCTCCCTGCCTGCGTCGGCGTAGCCGCCGCCACCGAAGAGCCTGCTGGGGACGCAGCCGAGGCGGCGGGAACTGCGGCGGCGGCGGCGGCGGCGGCGGGGGGCGCGAGCCCGAGGGCCGCGCTGCTGGGGGACGAGCAGTTGGTGTCGGCCGTGATTGCCTCGCTGCCCGGCGTCGACGCGGCGTCCGCGCCGGTGGCCGCGGCGCTCGCGGCGCTGCGGCGCACGCGGTTCGCGCCGCCGCCGGGTTGATTGCCGCCCTGCCGCCGCAGCCGCTGCCGCCGCCGGCCGTGGTGTCTTCAGTTGAGGGCGGGCCGCTCGGAGCAGCGCGGGCGTGCTAGTACTGCTGTATCATACCTTATTGATCCTTGCAGCGCGTGGTTCTGCTTTGCATTGGCTGGTTGGATCCTCAATTCTTGGCTTGCGGCCTTGATGCGTGCGATTGGAGCGCCCCTCTGCGCGATTGCCCAGCGGATGGGAGAGCCTTTCATTACCTCGCGTGCACGCGTGCACGCGGGCACCTGCCCTACCCTGCCGAACGCGGCGCGTCGCGCTGGAGGCGGCCGCGGCGGCGGGGTCGCGTATCCGGGGGCAGCGGCTGCCCTGCAGTCCATAACATTGGCGACGCCCACACACCGGGAGCGGCAGCTGCAGTCGCGCACCGCCCGCGGGCTCGCGCTCTCGGCCCCCCGCGCGCAGAGCGGCGTGCCCGGCGCGGGCGGGGCGCGGCGCGGCGCGGCGCCGAAGCGCCTTCGCTCGTCCCCGAGAATTCACGTCCCCGAATCTTCGTTGTTTCGTTCGGTTGCGCTGGCACCGCTCTCAATACCCCCACCCAGCCCACCCCGCCCAGGCGCCGCACCGCCGTGTGGTTGGAACCGCTCCATCTCTCCTAATGGCGCAGCCCCTGCGGCCCGCCGCCCGCCCAGCAGCAACCAATCCTTTTACTGCAGGCGGCATATTCGCCCGCCCCCTGTTTTCGCAACCCAAGAAGCCCCGGCGGGCGGCGCGGCGCGGCCCCGCGCCTCGCTCGCGCGCCGCGCTGTCCAGGCCGAGGGCGCCCGCGCGCGCACACACGAGTTGCATGTGACGAGCGGCACCGATCGCGCTCGCTGCGCCCGGCGTGCCGCGGCCCCTGGCCCGGCCATCTCGAAATTCCACCAAACTTTCACGCGGCTTCCTCGATTTTGGTGGGCCCCCCTTTGGTTGCCTTGCTGCACTCGAGAATGTGAGCGAGCAAGCGAGAGAGCTAGAGTGCTAGAGAGCCCGCTGCAGGTGCGCGGGCGCAGCGCGCGGTGCCCGCGCCGCAAGCAATAGAGCAGCGTTTTCCGCGATGGGTTGAGCTTTTCATTCAAGGGGGCGGCGCCGAGGCCTGGCGCGCGAGCACGGCGACAGCGCGCGAGCGAAGCGTCGCGCCACTCATATCGTTGCCGGCGCCGCCCCTGGCGTGCCCCTGTCATGCCCCTGTCATGCCCCGGCGAGCAACCGCTTTTCTTCCTTTCCTGGCGCATTCACGGTGCCCTAACCCCCATGTGCGGCAGAGCGACTCGTTCCCCCCTGCGACGGGCGCAGGCAGGCCTGGAAAAACGAGCAGGGATCGGCCCGGCTTGGCGCCGCATCCGCCACGCGCCTCGGGCTTGCGCGCCAATGCGCGCCTGCCCCTGTGCACGCGCTAAGAAAACAAAACAGTGGGGCATTGTGCGATGAACCCACGTGTTTGATTGCGGCTGTGTTGAAGTTAGGGGCATGATTGTTTTGGCCCCAAGTTGTAACCAACAACTTGGCAACTACGGTATCAGTCTGTCAGCCTTGCAATAATGTTGCTGTGGTTTGCTGCACTTGTCCGAGTGGTGCACTGTAGTATTCCAGCCACATGTGTGTGTGTGTGTGTGTGTGTGTGTGTGTGTGTGTGTGTGTGTGTGTGTGTGTGTGTGTGTGTGTGTGTTGATTGATGGTCGGTTGTGGAGCTGAGTGCAGCTGACCTCTGCTCTGCATGCTGCTGCGCGGGTTCAGGCAAGCCATGTCAAAGGTGTGTCAATGGTGTGTCGATGCGGGGCCGCCTGTGGTTCAAGGGTCCATTAGCACCCCAGGCTTGAAGCGTGCGCCTCCAGCTGCAGAAGCGGCTCGACAGCAGTCCCCGTCTCCTGCCTGACTACACATGCTGTTGGCGTTGCTGACGCAACACCTTTTTCAACATCCTCACAATTTGTGTTTAAGAAAACGTTGCTGTGCAACACACACGCATTCTGAAAGTGTCGAACTTGCAGAAAGCTCTCGCGCCACTTATGAGTCAAACGAGCAGATCTGGCACTACCGTAGCACTAGCGAACAAAAGCTCGCCCGCTGTCGTTGAGACGTCAGTTTTGCCATCTTCAAGCAATATTTCAGGCAAAGCTTTAGCTACCATGGCCGATGAGCTCTTGCAAAGTCTACTGAAGAAACTGGAGCTTGCCGCGGACGCCGGACCAGCACAGGTGTGTGATCCGTGTGATTTTGCAGAGGTCGCATTTTTTCTCCGTTGTAAAGCCCCTCCAAACGGCCTTTCCGCTGGATTGCTCCCGGTCAAACCCAACGTCGCAGAAGAGCCGGAGCAAAAGGAAGCGGCATCCGGTCCTCAGGCTGGAGATACCATCTATAACACGCAACGCCGAGGACTTGGCCAGCAGTCTGGAGGGTGGCAGTATCCGCAGAGGCGGCGCCGCTGCTCCCCTCCAGCTCCGGCAGCTAAGCCACGGCTACCAGTTATCTGGGCGGCGCCTCAGCGGCGGCTGCAAGGGGGAGCCAATGGAGCGGCCTGCAAAGAGGCCTGCTGCGTTTTCTTGTCTCACTCCCCTTCATCAAGTACAGAATTAGGCAGGGTAGGGATCTGAACAACCGCGTATGTTTGACCTGCCGTTGCACAGCACCGCCTCGCATCGCGACTTTCTTCCCATATGCATTGTGACTTTCGTCCCATCTTTCATGCAACCCTCTTCAACCCAATGGTGCTGCTTTCAAATAAATAAGTCTTGCCAGTTCTGAATACTCCATTGGCATCGAAGCCACGCAGTTGTTGTGTGTGAATAGCCCTGCTGGAACGCCTGCGCGCAGTTTGTCATCATTTAGCTTACTGCACCTCTCGCGCACAGCGGCCCACCTCTGGTGTTTTTCCCCATGACAGTCAATGATCAGCAAAGCGCTTGTCGCGGCATTCGCGCAAGCGCTTGCTCATGTAACATATTTACATAAGGTTGTTTCACTTCAAGCTCAGCCAGCTTCACCCGGTTGTTCACACACCCCTGCTGGATGGGAGGACCCACCCAGCCAGACGGCCTGTCCCTAGCAACAGGCACAGCGCCGTGCCCCATTTGAGCGCAAATCTCAAGGCTGAAGAGCGCCGCAAATTGACCATGCGTGTGGTGCCTGACAGGACCTGGGTTAAGGGTTTCAGGCAGGCTGCAGAGGCTGCACAAGACACGGCAAGTGCAGCTGTAAGAATCAAGCACTCAACTCTCGCTTCCCGAAGGGATGGACAAAACATGTAGCTTGGTTCAAAATTGCAGCTGCTGTTGCTGCTGTTGCTGCTGTTGCTGCTGCAGCTGCTGCGGCTGCTGCTGCTGCTGCTGCTGCTGCCGCTGCTGCGGCTGCTGCTGCTGCTGCTGCTGCTGCTGCTGCTGCTGCTGCTGCTGCTGCTGCTGGCTGATCCGCTGCCGCCGCAGCGCCTCCTGCGCCCGCTGCCAGCCGGCCGCGCCCCCTCCGCCGGGGATCGCCTTCATCCCGCTGTCCGACCCACCGGCGGGGCCAGGACCCGCGCCGCCCTCGGCGCCGCCGCGGCCATCCCAGCCCGCGCCCTCCGCACCCCACCCC